TGGGACAGGACTCCTCATCTTCCTGAGGGTTTTTAATACTCCATCGGATGTGACTGATCAACGACCCCTTGAACAAAAGCTCTGAGACGAATGCAAATTTCATGGTGTCTTAAAATAAACATGTTATAAATAAATATGTGTACTGTAATGCTACTACATATTTTTCTCTCTCTCTCTTTCTTTATGCATTGCTCTCATTCACTCAAATCTTCAAGAATGGCCTGAATTGTTTTGTTTTGAGGTTTTTTGGGAGGGATGTTATATATGTGTATGGACATTTTGTCATTGTGGTGGCTGAATGGTTAAGGATGTGGGCTGCTAACAAGCATGGAAGGATCATTCTGTACAGTAGTACAGTAGGAGTGATCCATGAACTGGAGACAACAAGCCTTCTGCATTAACACTGGCACAATATTAGTGATACTGTACTAATCACACATAAGATCCTTGAAGATCCTTGACTAAGTGGCATAAGGCCCACAAAATAACTTATTCTGGGCAAACAATGCCCACTTAGAATGGAAGAGATGTCTAAAGTGGGCAAACACAGTTTAATTGTTTTTATGTGATATAGGAGCTCAGTTATTGGAACTAGCCACCAGGTCGATCCCCTGAGAATTAAATTTTCCACTCGGGCCATTTTCCTGGTTTCCATGCGCACCACCAGTAGGAAATCTAAAGTGACAAAGCGGCAGACAGCGATGTCATTTAAGCATGGCATTCAATCTCTAGAAATGGTTGTACAGAAAACAGGACATTTCAACATATAGAAAACAAATACTCCTGAAAGTTGCATGAAGTCATCCAATCAGATTAGAGCTTGCCAGATCAAGAAAGTGCTCACCAGGTTTTCAATGGGCATCAGATGAGCGGACGGTCAGCAATTTAACTCTCTGAGGCTATGGTATTAAATTTGCGATGAAACGGAAGTAGCAACAGATCTTTTCTTCCATATTGTGACTTACATTCAAATAAAAAGATTATCGCAAAAAAAAAAGGTGGGGCGGGGACTTGGTTTTATGATTAAGTTGCTGAATGGATAGAGGCAGATCTGAATGCAGGCTTGCAGTCGATTGTAAGAAAACAGCAGAGTTGAATTTGGACTAAATGATTGGAGAAGTTCAGCATACATCACCAGAGAGAAGTTATAAGATCTACATGCGTTTAGAAAATAGATAGGGTCAACTTTCATTTCACTTCTGTCCTAAAAGCAAAGTGACTAGTATCAGTAACTAAGCATGTTACTACACAATGAAAGGTAATATCTAAAACTGAATGGCCTTGGAGCCTCTACAGCATAAGAGCTGACTGGTGTATAAGTTTCCAATCTCACTATTTTGACCCAGCTATTTGGATAATTCATGCACCATAATTGAGGAGCAAACAGTTTTAAGTTAGTAAATGTCCTCTACTATAATCATATCACTGATCTGCAGAATGAAGCACATCATCTTTATCTTTGTCCATCCTGCTCTGTAGACATTCAGACCAGAGCAGAGAAGCTCTAATAAAATGCCACCATCGGATCAGTGAGCCTGATAAATGTCAGTAAACTCCAAGTTTACTCGAGTCAAAGACATAACTTTGGAGGGAAAAAACGGGATTGTATTTAGAGGCAGAAAATAGAAGCACTCTGTACTCGATGGAAAAGATAATCCACAAAGTACAAAAGACTGACGTTGTACCTTCAACTTTCTTACTATAATTTATAGCCAGTAAGGTTTCAGACAGTTAACCTCAATATTAACATTTAGTAAATGTAGAGACACATGCTAGACGTTTCCTACAACTGAATCGTTTTCATAAAAGCCTTGTATACTATAGGCTTAATATACTCGGAAAAAAAAAGTCTGCCTGCAAGTGAATTATGCATAATTATAACAATGCAATTTAAACTTAATTAAATATAATTAACTTGAATATTATCTTTCTGGTGATTTGCTATGTAATGTAACATAAATTCTCTGTACGTACTTTAGCCTCGAGCATTTACTGTATGCTCCACTCAGTGCTTGTCTGACATTATCAAATTCGATAAAAATGGTAGCCTACAATTATGTGAACTTTTAATACAAAGTAAAGAAATTAGTATTAAGCTAAAGTACATTCATAAAGAGTTTACAGTTACTGATGTAATATAAGTTTTACACTCAGGGAAAGCATTTTTACACTTTTAAATTAAAAGAGTGTTTTACTCACAAAATATTATCAGGGGAAATGGTTCTCAAGGTAGTATACAGTATTCTGTTCATTGTCAGACAAGGATTTATCAGTAATATTTTACCAGGGCTGGTGCCTAGTAAAAAGGGCCTAGCGATGCCCTGCTGTGAATATTTCTCTAGTCAATTGACAAAAACGTGTCTAGCTAGAGTAAACTGGGTGTATATAATTGTAACTCTATACTTAAAGTAACCTCTCTCTTAGCTTAAGAGAATTTTACATAAAATAGTTAAAAAAGACTGACTGAGAGACAGCTTGTGCCTATTTTGAATTCATTGCACGCGCTTTATACCACCCGCCCCCCTTCACAGCCAGTCAGATAATTTCTTAGGAAAAGAAACGAGGGAAAAGTGTTAGGAACGGTGTTGGTATCGTGAACCTTTTAAAGAATTGGCAGTGGCGTATACAGTGAGAGTGTGTGTCTCGTTACTGATACGAACTGGCAGTTATAAAATGAGCTTGCCGGAAGATTTTCCTTTCAGCCAATGCAGCCGTCCCACAGCAAACAACAGAGGAGAAATCCATATTGATTGGAGGCAGCTGACTCAAAGACATAACTGAAGTTCACATTAGTGACACATTATTCAACTGTTGTGGTGACCAAGCATTTCTTTTCGAAAGGCCTTCAAAATGGGGGATTATGCTCGCTAAATCTCCGCAGTAAACAGCTTTGTGTGTAGTGTGTGTGAGTGATTACCGGCGTTGAGTTTCCGATCCAGAACAGGTAATTGCTTCTGACTCATATGAGATCTGCAGGTGTGCTGATAAAGAGCGACAGTGCGCATGCGCACATTTGTCAAGGAAAATCAAATCATTATTTATTTACATAAATTACGAGGAATTATATAATATCGGAATGGAAAATAATTTTTGCGTTTTCATTCTGAAACTTTATTTATTGTTCTCTGTTTATTTCTGTATGGGGTTCATTTTTCTTGTAGCTGTGGAGAATGGAGCAGAGGAGTAATGGTGCGTTCAAGTCATGTCGGATAGATCGTATTTACGAGTTGAACGCACATGAACGCCTC